CGGTGGAATAGGAACCGGAAAAAAAAAAAAAAAAAAAAAAGAACATCGAATCCAGCGACGTTGGAGAAGGCCCTCACGGAGGTGGAAGTCACAGCAGTGCTTTGAGGGGGAAAAAAAAACAAAAAAAAAAAAGAAGAATGGCAAATTTGAGTACAGTCCTAGAATATTCCAACAAACGACCCTCAGAGAACAGAAGTCTCACAACAACAATCACATCTTTTTAAAGTCTGATATGTTTGGGTGGGGGTTGGGATTATGATGGACAACATTGGGCGGGTGACCCACCCCACCAACTTACCAACTGACCTCCTGATGGATAAGACGACCAACCAACGACGGACAGACCAACCAAGAAGTGTTGTTTGCATGTGGAATGTGGAATTAATTAAAAACCTTTTTAGACGTACCAGTCAGATATGACAGCTAGTGTTTGTGCTATGCACAGCCCAAGCAAGGCTGCCAGCGATGTGAGTCTTCCAAAACACTTGTAATATCCCCAATAAACTTGCCATCCCACAGCTCCCGTCTCTTTTCTTTCTTTAGATGATTGTCCTGCAGAACGATCACATTCAGATTAGAAATAAAAGTTCTCCCCCATTTTGAGACATTCAATACATCTGGAATGATACACAGAAGATTCGCATAGCCCTTGTGAAAGGATGCAAAATCGAGAAAAATAAAATTCAGATTTCAAAAGAAAAAAGGGTGACCAATCATGGTTAAGCTGCATAATACTCCAGAACTCAGCGATGTGCAAGGAAAATGAGCTATAGCGGATTCCAGAAACCAAGCAGCATTAAACCCTTAAGGGATGTTTTAAAAAAGGGGGGACAGATAAAATGGGAAAGGGGATATCACGCCTCACGGGCAGGGCAGATGAGTGGGGAGGACACAGGTCGACAGGGACAAAGGATGATCTCTTTCTAGGAGGCATAGCACTATCTGACAGATCTGGCCTCCAAATCTGAGAGGAAAGAGAGGGACACAGCAAGCTGACAGTCAATCCTCCACCAAGGTGGAGCAATCAATGCTGTTCAGGGGTCCTTCGGCCAAACGGAAGGAAGCGTGGTTAAGTTTTAATGTAATATGCATTCGGACTTGCCGGTGGAATAGGAACCGGACTGACGCTCCCCAGAATAGAAGGAGCCAGGACCGTAAGGCCCTGTTTTTTGTTAAAAAAAAGAAAAAAATAAAAGAAAAAGAAACCAAGCAGCATCGTACACATGAAACCAGATAGTCGTGACCTCAAACCAAAAGCAGAATTGCAACTCGAGTTCCACCAAATAAGAGCACGGCAAAAGCTCACAAGTGACAATGTTGAGTCTCATCATCATCAACAATGAACCAATGTCGACTTCCTATCTGGCGCTCAGCGCCCAGACTACGAATGACAGATCCTATCTAGCCTATCTACAACAGCTCCCCGAAGTACGAGCAGATCTCGGCCAATGCCGTTTGCCTCAAGCACCAGGTATGTCTCACGCATAACTCACAACCTCGATCCCCCACACGGATGCCACGTGCACCCAAGGACCACCATGCGGCCCATCCAGCACCTCGCAGGCCAGCTCGGCTATGGCTGCCTGTGTGTACCTTGCTCGCCCGTGAGCGCATGGGCGCTTGGCAGCTGATAGCGCAGCAGCGCTTGCGCAGCATGTAGCAAGTGCCCGAATGCTGAATCCGGGGGCAGGCACTTTCCTATATGGAAATGGCCTGCCTGCTGTGTGCTGCCTGGCTGTGCTGGGCCCCTACCTAGAAGCCTCCGGTAGGCCCCAAGTGGCTGAGCCCCGGTCCAAGGGAATCAGACACAGGGCCTGGGGTCGTTACCCGTGTCCAACTGCCAGCGGACTGTGCGCAGTCCATGCCCCGTGGCTAGCCCAGGGCCTGCCTCAGATACATTTGAGAAAGGCAGGCAGGGCCTCGGTTCTCTCAACCAACTGGCGCTGCACAACTGCCTGAGTTTCCCAGTTGCGTGGAAAGCCCGGAATAGGCCTCTCGTCCTTGGGCAGGCCTGCCTTCACTTAGGGCGGCCGATATTGCTGAAAACAGGGCCCAGTAGGGCTCATCGAGGCCTTGAGCCTCGCAGATGTCTGATATGGATGCCTTGGCAGGTGGTGGCGACCATCCCATACGGTCTGCTAGGAGGATCCGAGGCAGCAGAGTGGGTGGCAAGAAGCACAGCGATAGTAGCAAAGGTAGAATCATTCTCGTGGGAGCCGGTGTACACAGAGGAAAAGATAGCACAGGCGGCAACAAGGATAGACCTCGGGTTGGCAGGCTCCTGAACTTTTAACATGGGGAGATCAGGGACTGTGGTGACAGCCCACCCCAATGGAGGACGCTGAGGACACCAGGTCGAGGAAACGTCAGAGAGTAATGCTGGCGGCCAAGAGAAAAGAAAATTGATTAAGGGTGGTATCGGGGAACGTGAATGGTATGGTGCAGATACTTGAAAATCAGGACAAATGGAACAATGTCCTGAAATATACTGACTGGTTCCGTGGTAACCCCCCCTGACTTTTTATGCATTCAAGAGACTCACCTGACGATGTCTTCGGGGCACCAGCAAATTCGAAACAGGATCCTGAGGAGACTGAAGTGTGTGAAAGCAGGGTACTCGGCAGCAGCGTGACACTCATTCAGCAGGAGTGGTTAAAGCTTAACTTCAGCCAATACTGGAAGAAGAATACGAGTACTTCGATAAATCCTGGCAAGCAGAGATCCTGGGGGTAGATTCAGTTACAGGCATTGTTACTCTGCTCTACAAGAAGGGGGATCCGAAGGATATAAGAAACTACAGACCTATCACTCTGCTGGCATTAACACACAAAATCGTGGCAAAAGCTCTAGCCAATAGGTTAAGTAATGTAACCAGGGAATGCTTTCACCTAAGACCAGACGGGATTCGTTCCAGGACGATTTATCCTGGACAACTTAATGACGCTGTCGGAGCTAGTAAGATATATCAGGGACAAAAGAATTAATGCAGCCATTCTGTTCTTCAACTTCGAGAAGCAGGTGGACTGGAATTTCCTCCAGCAATGTATGGAGAAAATGGGAGTGCGATGCCCACGGACAAGTACAAGTGAACGGGCATCTGTCGCGGAGGTACAGGATGTCAAGGTCCGTTCACCAAGGGAGCCCTCTACGGGCGCCCATCTTCCTCTTCATCATGGAGGCAATAACATCCTTCCTGAGAAAGGATCCTTTGATAGAGCGGTTGGTGGCAGAGCCAGACCAGCAAGGCAGACTCATTCAACTTCCTACGACCATCCTCTTTGCTAATGACTTGACAGTCCTGATCCGGGCCATAGACTAGTCCTTTGAAGCCCTCACAAGAGCAATGAGTGCCTTTCAGATAGCCTCTGAGATGAGAATCATTTGGCTCGAGACACTGGATGGTGGTCGGTATACGGGGACGAAGAAGAGCAACCCCATCCAGAGAATTATGGTGGGATGTGTTGGGCATCAGCAGCAGAACCCCTGAGGTACCTAGGAGTCAGGTTGGCAGACTCAGGACCTCGCCATTCGATGGAGTTGGAGCTCCTGGCAAAGATACTAACCAAGCTCAGAGCATGGTCCGAAGTCTACATATCCCTGTTCGGCCGAGCTGTTATCCTCAACACCTCAATATTTTCCATGATATGGTATGTAGGTGCGATATGAACTCCACCGTTTCAGGCAATGAAGAAACTCGGGAGGGAGGCAGCAGCCTATTTGTGGACGTAGAATCCCTCCAAGCAGCACTTCATCTCCAAGGTGGCATGGAGGCAAGTTATCAAATCTAAGGAGCAAGGCGGGCTGGGCATATTATACCCGGAACAGCAATTCAAGGCACTCCAAACAAAGTGGTTTCCCAAGCTGATCACGCACCCACAGCTTCCATGGTGCCACTAGCTATGGAACATATCAGGAAACAGGCCAATTGCAAAACTCCCTCCAATATGGAGGGGACCTTCTGGCTGATGAGTAAGAGATAGGCTAAGAAAAGGAAGGCAGGAGAACGAGGGGGGAGCGCAAGAGGCGGGGCCCCAAGGGCGGCTCATACTGGGCACAACTCCTGAAGCTGTGGACAAAGATTTTCCCCGCGACAGTGAAAGAACCAAATACGAGGGAGGAAGTCATGAGGCAACCACTTTTCTGCAATCTGTGGTTAAACGACCTCCAGGGGAAACCTCGCACACTCACAGCGAAGGACTCCAAGTGGGACACACGGTATTTGGCAAGTGAAGCACCTGTGGTCGGAAGACGGTCATCATTGGAAGTCAGCACGGGAGCTAGGAGAGGAGATGAAAGGAAGTCACAGGCTCCTTGAGAATCTGAATGACGTCCTGATTTCAATCCCAGAAGGATGGACTAAGTTAATCCAAGGACCACAGTGCCTGGGGGTCGGGGAGTGGACCGCATGGTGTAACAGTGACACACCAACGGATGCCTTCAGAATAGGAGGGCAGGCATGACCGACAGGAGATTGGTTGAGCGTAGAGATATACACAATACAATGACCAGGAGCACATACAAGTCAGTTCGACAAAGGAACATGCACCCCGATTACCATTAAAAAAAAGAACACATCAGAAAAGTGAGGGTGATAGAGACAGAGGCATTCATGATATTTGCTCCAGCAACGGCCATACAGGACTTGGAAGTCGACCCAGTCAAATGGGCTGGGAACCTCAAGGGGGGGGTGTTAGGAATAGCCAAAAGAATTAATATACTCCACTATACAACTAAGCTGGGATACAGACTCAGGAAGCGATCATCTCTGTTGGCAGAATCCTTGGCTCTGAGATGGGAAAGGAGGGTGCAGGTGCCTAAGGAAAAGGTGGCTAGATTACCGTGGTCGTCCTTACATGCTATTCGGTTAGGCAAGGTAAAGAGTTTGCAGTGGCTGACATTCCATGTGTCAGTCCCAGTCAACACGCGGTTGTACGAGCGTCGTAGCCAGCACCATAGAGACCCCACCAGCCAACAGTGTACTCAATGTACAGAAGGGGCATTGGAGACTATGACCCACTGCCTCCTCTTCTGCTCAGAAGCAGCATATCTATGGGGAGAAGCTAGGATACTCTGGGGCAGGGTAACGGATATCCCCTTCCGGGCGGACAGGAGGACACTTCTGGTGTGAAGTGAGCTCCCCGCGACATGGCTGCAGTACCAAGAGCACATATTCCACCTCATAAGACAATATGCATTCTGGACGATATGGAAGCGAAGATGCCAACAGGCGATCGGGAACAAACCAATGCATAGACTGGAAGCAAAACAGATTCTTTATAATCTGGTGGAAACGGACATACAGGCTTAATGGAAAGGAATCCGCAGCCAGGCGCAGCAGAACCCACTACAGGCCAAGACATTAGTGGAAAGCTTCCAGAAAAGGGTATTAGCCCAATGCAAGGTAGCAATTTGGGAAGGTACTACGCTGAGTTTCCAATGTTTCGGGGGATATATAGATAGGAGTTTGGGGTAGGGTTTAGGGTTTAAGCTTAGGAATAGTGGGGAAGAGAATAGGAGAGTCAGATTTATCTTATTTCAGGTCCCGCTTGGGT